TATATATATATATATATATTGATTCATTATTAGTGATTATTCATGTTGAAGAATTGGGATGTTGTATTTGAAGATTATATTTATACATTATTATTTATATACAAGCAGAAACTAATGATCATTTCCATCATAGACTGATCTGCTGATTATTTTCTTGATCAATCTATTTAGACATGTTGAAATGAAAACATATTGAAATGATCAGTGATTGATCATCAGTTATCAACAATGTCGCTGGTGAATTTCTTCACAACTAACTGATATATCGATTAATTCTTTAAGGTCAAATTTACAGTGTATCATATTTCAGATGTTCGTCATAAAGAGACTCAGCTGTTCATTAGTAACAAACATTTCGCTCAACACTCAAAACTCCAGCAGCTCCTGAGGGCAACATCAGTGTTCACCAGCTGCTCTGAATGTGTCTGCTGAGGACAGATGTTTAGTGTTCAGATGTTTCTCTGAAAACAGCTGGTGAACCCAAGTCTTCATTTGAAAGTTTCAGACATCGTCAGGTGTTTTAAAGTGTCAGTGTTTGAGTTTGTACCACGTTCGGATGTTTTTCCAGAGCAACAGCTGTGTGTTCTTCAGGGTCCCTCTGTAAACGTCGCCTCTTCATTGTTCGAAGCAGCAGAAACAGAAAAGCTGATAGAAACATCAGCAGAATCATCACTGCTATTCCTCCTGCCAGTCTGCTGTCCACATCTCCAAACATCTGCTGCTCAGTGAACGCACCACGAGGGACTGCAGAGAGGAGAGAGCTAATGTCAGTGAATGCACCACATGGACAGATGTCCAGTCTATCAAAGAACTGACACATAGAGACACGTCTCACCTGCTTGTCCTCTCTGCAGGACTTCAATGTCCACTGAAGCTGAAACCTCTTCTCCTGATTCTTCGTCTCTGGCTATAACCTGCATGATGATCAGACATTAGAACATAGATATTCTCTGATGACATGAAACACTGGGTCTGATCTAATGCTGCTGAAGTGGATTCACACTGTGAAGCTTTTAAGTTTAATCTTCAGTCTGATGCTTCTGCTGTTAGACATCAGTCTGACCTGAGAACCAATAAGAAGAGACTAAACACACCTGAGACCTTTTCTGCATCACTTATAAAATACATTTACTACAACACAGTTGTTCTTCGTACATTAAGCCTGGTAAAAACACATATGTAACTAAATAAAGGACTCATATATAAATGAATAAGAAAATATAACTATAATACCACATGTATACATATAGTGTAATATATTAAAGGTACAAACACATGGAATAATACAGCATTACTGCAGTGTAATACAGTAAAGGTAAACTCACCTGTCGTGTCTGTGGAAGGTAAACCCACCTGTAATATGTGTCTGTCGAAGGCGTGCAGCTGGTCCGTCCTGGCGATGAGAACCCCCCTCTGGGTGACTTGGTACAGTCCAGACAGAGGATGGAGGGAGTAGTGGATGTTTGGATTCAGGCCCTGTGATTGGACAGCAGTGATGAGTCACCAGGTGTGATACAGGTCATAATACATGTAGTGCTTCAGGTGTTCTTACATCAGAAAAGTCACGGTCTGACACCTGGACCTGTAACACCTGGTTCCCATAGGTGGAGACAATGGAGGCGGGGCTAGAGCTCTGGATGATGAAACCTTTAAAGGTGGTTCTGTTGAAAACTGGAGGGAACGTGTTCTCATAGAGAACTCTGACCAGAACTGACGCCACACTATACTTCAGCCTGTCATCCACTTGACACACCTGTACAGGTGAGGAGCAGCAGATTAGACACTTTGTTCTCTACTGATTGTTAAGAAAGAAGCAGTAAATAGGAAGTGGGCTTGTTACCATGATGTTGAGTGTGAAGTTTGGTGTCAGTCGTCGGTCGTCCACACCTCGGGTTAACCTGAGCTCACCTGTCCTGTCGTTGATCACAAACCTGCTCTGATCATCACCTGCTGGGTGAAGCACACAGATTATAAACAGATGATCTTCCTGTCCTCTGCCTGTCACTGTTGTCTGAATGAAGCTCTGACCTGACAGGATGCTGTAGATCAGAGGCGTGTCGATTCCTCTGTCTCCATCCTCTGCTCTGATTGGACCAGGAGAAAACTCAAGAATAACATCCTGAAACACACAAGCAGGTAGATGTACACACACAGAGTCATAATTCATTAACATACTGCATATAGTACACATTAACAGCTGTTAACACAAATACATAGAATCTCTTCATCTGTCACTTCATGACATTAATGATCTCCAGAGGATGAACCCCAATGATCCTAATGACCTTCTGATTACCCGCTGTTCCAGGTGTTTACCTGTTAACCTGGTGTTTACCTGGTGTTTCTGTGTGATGTTGGTGGTGTAGGTGGGGCTCATGCAGACAGGAACACCTGGAGAGACAGGTGTACAAGGCAGGAAGTGAGGATACTGGTCGTCTCCATCCTCAATGTTCACAGTTAAAAGAGCCGTCGTGTTGAACTTCTCCTCAGAGTTTGACTCCTGTCACATCATCACAGAACAAAACATGGAGTTATTTTTCCTTTCTATGAAATTTATGGAGACAAATTGTTTTGTTTTCACTATAAAGTTTAGGTATTATTACACCTGCAGGTCTAGTTCTTTCTGTTTAAGTCTGGACGCTGTGTCCAGACCTGCAGGTCTAGGTCTATTTGGGGTTATCCCAGATGATCATGTGCAGGTGAGTTCTCTGGTCCTCATGAATCATTAAGAAATACAGGTGAGTCTTACCTGGGCACAGATGATGAGCTCCAGGTGAGTTCTGGTCTCGTAGTCCAGCGGTTTGTTGAGGACTATGTTTCCACTGTTTGGTAGATCGATCCTGAAGAACCAGGCATCAGGCTGCAGGTAACAAGAGACAGGTGTGTTCAGCCATAAAGACATGTATGGTACATGGACAGAGGTATGTTGACAGGTCTGATCTTACTGATGATTGATCGATGATGTAACTGATCATGTCTCCATCTGCATCAACTGCCTTGACAGTGAAAACCACAGAGTTCACTGGTGTCAGCTGCACATGAGAAAACAGACTTTATCTTTCATCATGTCAACAACACACAGAGTCAGCATCAACATATGTCAATATTTTCCATGGCAACACGTGACACATGATCTAGGTGTCTGAAACAGACATTGTGACATCACAGCCACCTCACTCAGTGATTGGTCAGCAGTGTGCAGGTGAGAAAGTAGGCAGGGTTTCACTCACTATGAGGCCGCCATGTTTTACCTCACTGATGGTGAACGGCTGAATCGTTTCTGGCAGGAAGTTTGGTCTGTTGTCATTTTCATTCACAATCTCCACCAGGATCCTGTACTGACTCTGAGGAAACACATCTGTTTACTGCTGGAACACAGGTGTACTCATTGACATGACTGTACAGGTAAGACAGGTGACGCACCTGCATGACATCATCTTCATAACAGGTCAGTTCTGCTATCAGCACTGATCCCTGAACCTGAGAGACACACACATCTGAGTTCATTATTCACTGTGGATTATCCAAGTGGCATGTGTTTTTACAGGTGTAGTTTAAGGTAAGGTGTTTTTAAATGTGTAGTTTCAGGTCAGGTGTTTTACAGGTATAGTTTCAGGTGTTTCTCGGACTCATGGTTTAGTAACAGGAGTGTTCAGGTGTACCTCTCTGTCAAGGACTCTGGAGAGCGAAGTGTTGAGTCTGATGGTTCGACCTTCTAAGTAGAACCAGTTGGCGTTGTCTCCAGTCAGACACAGTTTGACAGTGTTGGCTCCTGGATATCCACGGATGCTGATGTTAGAGATAAACTCACCTGTCGGACTGTTCTCTTTGACCGATGCAAAGATGTCTGACCCCCCCAGACATATACCGGCTGAGGACCAAACACAGAGGGAGAGCCATGACCTGTTTATACAGACTGAGGCAGCAAGTGTCAATCACCTTGTGAAAGTTCAAATATGACATCTGATTGATAATTATATTGGTCACTTTGCTCAGATAGTTTTGTTTTAAATCATCATTTTGACTCTTATGTTCAATGGAAAAATTTAAACGTGTTTTCTCGGAATACCAAGAATGATGGGAAAGATGAAGACAAAAACTAGAGCTGAACAGATTAGCTCATTAAATAATTAGTAGTTTGATATCTTTTTCAATCAAACCTCCATCCACTGTCTAGTGTCAGTGGATGGACGGTCTGAGTGACATGGACGCCTACATCTGTGTGGACAGAAGAGTGAGACAGCTGTGAAAGTCATAGGTTAACAAACAGGAAATCATGTGTTCTTTGTTCTTCTTTGTTGTCTTTAAGAACCTCCACATTCTCACCTGTAACAACATGATAAGATAACCTAAGAGCCACCTCCCACAGCAGCAGTCTGCAGGGTCTCAGCATCTTCCTCCACCTGTACAACATACAAAAAACTGGTCATTTAGATCAAACACTGTCGCATTGATCAGACATCCCCACTGTGTCCTCTGAGCTGCTGTTTGTCTTCATGAGCTGTTTTCTACCTGTCCTAACTGAGACTGGTCCCTGTGCTCATGAACCTCCTGGTGCATCAAGTTTAAATGTGACTTTGTCTCTTTGTGTTTTGTGCAGATTTCTCTGTTTAGTGTGTTGTATTTGAAATGCTCATTACTTGTTTTACTACATACTTGTTCCTATGTTCCTACACAAATACACAATAAATAATAAAATGATTCCTCTGAGATTCACACTGAAGCTGAGGTGGACATTTAATAAACCAAGGACAATAGAGAGGTCACTGTTGTCCTGCAGGAGAAAGGTGGAGGTCAAAGACAACTGACCTCAGAACAGAGTCACAGGTAACAACCAAACAAAAAATGAGTCACGGTCTGTTCATCAGTAAAACAAGGAAGCAGAACAACAGAGAACAGAGGCTGATTCATTCATAAGCCTCAGGATTGTTAAAGCTGGAGGGTTCTCTCAGTGGAAACTATGTCAGAAAAAGTTTGGTCACAGCAGCTGAGTCGCTGCGACATGACCTCACCGACCAATCAGAGCGCGTCCTCACAGAGCTGAGCTTCAACACCAAAATGTAGGCTACAATCTGTGTGTGAGCATCAGTTTTAATGAAGCTCAGAATATGTGGTTCACTCACAGTGAGACTAATGATAAAAATCATGTCATTAACAAAACAACAACAAGATGACAAGACAACAACAAGAAATCAATGAGACAACAACAAGACAACAAGACATCAACAACACAACAACACAACAACAACACAACAAGACAACAACAACACAAGACATCAAAAAGACAACAACGAGACATCGACAAGACAACAACAACACAAGACATCAAAAAGACAACAACGAGACAACAAGACAACAACAACACAAGACATCAAAAAGACAACAACAAGACATCGACAAGACAACAATACAGTTCAGCATGAACTGTCTCATTGGTTTGGTCTCGAATGTCATGTCTCAGCTTGCTCTTCAGTAATTAGGCAATTAAATCAGTCAGCAGCTTTCACAACAAGACCTTCACTATCAACAACATTCTGATTTTCTGTTAAACAATCAGTTCAACTTCTTTTATTTAAGTTTACAAACATTAAAGTTAAACCACAATTATATATTGACTCTTTATGTTGTTTGAGTTGTAACCCTCTTTGGTTTAATTACAATTGTAGTCATAGTTAATGAGGCCTCAGGCTGTGAACACAGTCAAACAGATCCTCCTATAAATCACTCCCTGTCTGTTGTTTTAGAGAAACACATGACCTCATCATATCTTAGTCATGTGACCATGAATGAAAACGTGTCTTTAGATCAGTTCTTTCAGAGAAGCTGGTTCAACTTGTCTCTGGTAGCAGAATTTAAATCCAAGTGTCAACACTGAGGATTTATTGTGGATTAATATCAGGCCTGTTTCAGTGGCTGGGTTAGAGTCAGGATCTGTATCATGAATGTTGGTCTACCTGCAGCTCATGTAAATGTGTTCAGCCTTTACCAGTGTGTCATCACTAAACGAACACAACTGTGTTTACACACGATCACTATGACGACTACACTCTGATCTGTTGTCAACAGAGAAAGTTCTTCCTTGATGGTTGTTGAAACTTTGACGGTCTGAAGAACAAAATCATATGATCTGAGTTTCCTCTACATGTTTCCACTAGTTACCAAACACAAGTGTAACATTGTGTGATGGTTTCAGTCCTGCTGTTCAAAAACACTAGAACATCAATAAGAGCCATAATAATAATATGATTATTATTATTATTATTATTATTATTATTATTATTATTATTATTAATAATAATAATAATAATAATGATAATAATAAACTGACAGTGAAGACTCATGGTTACCATGAACACAAACACATACATCTCCGGAGCACTCACCTCTCTCTCTTGCTGGTCTACAGACAGTCTGTGTCTCTCACCCTCTGTCTGTTCAGACCTGCTGATCCCAGCGTCATGTTGTCACAGTTTTCATGTCTTCATTCCATCATGTTTTTATGTTTCAGCAGCAGAGTCTGTTGTTCAGAGAGAACAGAGAGCAGCCTGTCACTGTGTGTCACTCTGTGTGTGTGTGTGTGTGTGTGTGTGTGTGTGTGTGTGTGTGTGTGCAGCATTAGCAGAGGGCTTACAGCGCATTAATGAGCAGGATAAGTAGGCCAACATCCTGCAGGAGTCTGAACCAACAGGAGGCCTGTTAGCCACTTAGCACCACAGTAATAATCAGCTGATGAGTCATAGGAAGTGTTGACTGAAGTATAACTGTACTAATACTTCAGTACTATCATCAGTAACATGTACTGCAGTATTATCAATATCATCAGTATCAAGTACTATAGTATCAAGTACTGCGGTTTCATCAATATCATTATTAACATGTACTGTAGTATCTATAGTATATTGTCGAACCTCAGATCCAGGAAGAGCAATGTGGATTAGGTTCTGGCAGTGCAGCAGTCTGAGAGAGCTGAGGGGGTCATGCTAGTTTGAACAGCTAGTCTACATATGTTTTGTGGACTTGGAGAAGGCTTATGACCGTGTCCTCCGGGGGACTCTGTGGATTGAGTGCGGGAGTATAGGGTACCGAGCCCTTTGTTAAAAGCCATTTGGTCCTTGTAAAACCAACATAATGATTTGTCCATATTCTCGGCACAAAGTCAAACAAGTTTCTGTGAGTGTTGGACTCCGCCAAGGTTGTCCCCTTGTCTCCGATCCTGTTTGTGATATTCATGGACACGATGGATCACTTTGGGAAACTCAGAATTCCATCTTTGCTTTGATGATGTGGTTCTGTTGAATTCATCAGAATGTGACCTCCATTGCTCAGTGGGACAGTTTGCAGCCAAGTGTGAAGCGGCCGGGATGAGAGTCAGCACCTCCAAGTCTGAGGTCATGGTTCTCAGCCGGAAAATGGTGGACTGCTCCTTCCGGGTTGGGGGTGAGTTACTTCCCCAAGTAGAGGAGTTCAAGTATCTAAGGGTCTTGTTCACGAGTGAGCGTAAGATGGAGTGGGAGATTGACAGACGGATGGGTGTGGCGTCAGCAGTAAAGCGGACGTTTTACCGGACCGTTGAGGTGAAGAGGGAGCTGAGCCGGAAGGCAAAGCTCTCGAATTACCAGCTGATCTTTGTTCCAACTCTCACCTCTGGTCATGAGCTCTGAGTAATGACCAAAAGAATGAGATTGTGGGTACAGGCAGCTGAAATGAGTTTCCTCCGTATGGTGTCTGGGCTCAGCCTTAGAAACAGGGTGAGGCGATCGCTGCTCCTACATGTTGAAAGGAGTCAGTTGAGGTAGCTCGGCATCTGGTTAGGATCTAGGATCCTCCTGAGCGCCTTCCTTTAGAGGTTTTCCGAGCATGTCCAACTGGAGGAGCCCCTGGGATAGACCCAGAACTCACTGGAGGAATTACATACCCCATCTGGCCTGGAAATGCCTTGGGATCCCCCAGGAGGAGCTGGAAATCATTGACGGAGAGAGGTGGTCCTTGCTTAGCCTGCTGCCCCCGCGACCCAACCCGGAGAAGCAGAAGAAAATGGATGATCGATCATCACGACGAGTCTGTGTCGGTTCATCATGAAAACACAGGAAATGACATGAAACCACGATCAATGATATTATTTTCATAACTTTTATTCAGAAACATTTTCAACATGTTTTCTAAACGAGTCTTCAGATAATAAAGAGAAATATAGTTAGAAAAAAAGATTCAAATAACAATAATAACACATGAACAACCCTAACCCTAACAAACAGCTGAGAGTCTGATGATCACTGAGGTTAGATTTCTCCTCTTTCCTCCTACACAACAGCTGGCTCGGTTTCTTCACTTGACACTGGGAACAACAATAACAATAATAATAACAATAATAAAATCACAATTTACAATATTAATAGCATATTTTGTATAAATTGGTGAAACTGTAGAGTAGATTTAAAGTAAAGAGAAGTCTTTAAAATACTCAGTATGACACAAACAGCAGCAGCTGTAAAAAGCTGTCTCCCTCTAAAGAGGTGAGTCAGTGAGGTGGAACATCATCATCATCATCATCATCATCATCAGAGTGCAAAGTCAACCTGCTGAACACAATCAGGTGTGAATCCTCTGATACGCACTCACTGACTCTGTCTTCATCTTCAGCCTCACATTTAACTCTTCCATCTCTTCTTAAATATGCCCCCCCCCCCCCAATCCCACCTTCACCGCCCACCCCCACCTCCCTCCTCCTCTTCGTGTGTTGTGTGTGTCCAGCTCACCTGTTGTGTTTCAGCTGAGTCTTTGTTCTGGTGTTCTGACCTTTTCTCTGGATTTCTCCAGTTTAAACAAAGCAGAGACTAAAGCTCTGGTTTCTAATGAGACTCCCTCAGATTCACATCCAGAGACCAGGTTAAGTTTTCTGGATGGAGTCCTGAACACACATTGTGATTACATGTTACAGCTAGAGGATCTATGTGCTCAGTGTTGCCATGGTAACCCCCATTTAGTTTCCATGGCTGTTTGATGATGCTCTTCCTATTCCTCCAGTACCCATCAGCCTCCTTGTCTCCTTCTGTGATGAGGGAGATCAAAATGTCAGGTTGTGATGAGACATGTCGCTCACGTTTCCTCAGAGGGTGAAAAATAAAAGTGTGAGGGAGGTTTCTGTCCTGCAGGTGAGTGGAGACAATGACAGGTGGACAGGAACTTCGCCCACAAACAGACGTGTCATTGATCTGAAATTATCACCTGAACAACCTTTCACCTGCAGGATGACAACCACAACAACAACCACCACAGACACATCAGCAGCAGTCTTCTCCTCCACAGACACAAACACACAACCTCAATCAGAAGGACCTGACTCCTAAGTCTCCTGGTGACATCAGGTTAGGACATCTCCCTCGAACACTGAAAGGTGTTTATGAGCCTTCCCCTTCACTGTGGTCTGGAAATAAACTGAGGCATCATCACTTTGAGGAAGGAAGTAATCCAAACTCTTCTCCAGTGTCGTCCCTCAGTGGTGGAACAAGTTACTGAACCTGATTCATTCAGCTGCTTCTCTTTCTGTCAAACATCACTAAGACCTGCGTCTGTCTATAAACACCCGAGAGTCTGGTTCCTAAATTCACTTCCTGGTTTCATCACGCTTAACAAACACTAACAAATCTGTTTGTTTTTTATTTAATGACAGAGACTGTGACATCTGAGCTACATTTCATCACCTTCACTTCACTGATATAAACACCAACAACATCTCCTCTTTATTACACATAGTTCTGTTTGTCTTCAACTCTCATGGAAACATTCAGGGATGTTTTGTTTTTCCATATCAGTCTTTCTTTTAAACAAACTTCATGCCATCCGATTCTGTCACAAAAATATTTCACCTTTCTGCAAAAACAATAAAAATAATAAAAACAAGTAGACACAGATCTGTAAACCTACACCTTTAAACGCAATATCACCATGAAAATACTCAAAGAACGTTTAATATTCTGCACATGTTCACACATTTTATGCCTCTGGGCTGTGACTGTAATCTGACTGCTGCTGCTTTATTAATAACTGACAGATGATAAGGGCATGACACATGATAGAAAAAAGAGACTGAGGCTGAGGACAGTCTGAAGACACTTAGTCTGTAGTGACTCAATCTGAGGAAGATCTGAAGAGACTAAGTCTGATGACAGTGTGCGGACATCTGAGACTCTGTCTGAAGAGACTCAGTTTGAGAACAGTTGCAGTTTTATGTCCGACAGCAGAGCAACTTGTGAAAGACATTCCTGAACTCAGCGTTGAAGGCAGTGTAGATGATCGGATTGACAGCACTGTTGACATAGCCGAGCCACGTTACCACAGAGATGAGGGTTGGGCCGATGTCACATGACAGACACAACACCTTGGTGACGTGCACGACGAAGAAAGGTGTCCAACAGGCCAGAAACACCCCTGACACAAAGAGACAGAGACAGTTAGAGGGACATCTGGTTTGTCTCAGAGTTGATAAAGACTTAAGATAAGAGACATCTCAGGGACATAAAAGTTACACATGGACATTCAAGATTGGTATCATCTGCATAGAAATGTGTATTATCAGTCTATGCTGAGGTAATAGAGCTGCAACAATTCACATAAACATGACTGAACTGTGAATAAATATTAAAATAAGTTTATAGGAAGGTTTGACTGCAGTATATCCAAAGTCTTGGTCCTGTTTGTCCTAACTGTACGACAGTGTCACCTACATATTATTTACTCATACTATTCATGCATGTTCTGTATCTGCTCGGTCTGAGGTTTCTGTGAAACTTGAGTAGAATAGTTAATACAGTGACCGACAAGGGCAAATGCACTACAATGGCTCAAAATACTTCCATTAGGAGAAACGAGCTGCAAATTCAGAAACGATGCAGTTTCAAAAACAGAGAAAATACAAAACAAAAACATGAACATCAAACACGCTGCAAAAACAGAAATTATGTAAACACACAAACCCCCAACACTATAAAAGTGCTCCAGGTCTCTAGGGGGAGCTCTAAGTGGAACACCGTGAGCATTAGCCTGAGCTTCAACTCAAGAGACCAGACTTGACCTTTGACCTTTGACCTTGGACCAAATGAGAAAGCATGTGGAAAGAAATAAGAGGTAATATAAAAAAGTTTGTTAGCTTATATACAGTTTATGGGTGTTCCACTTAGAGCGCCCCCTAGAGGCCTAGAGCACTTCCATTGTGTTGTCTGGTCTTGTTTCTGTATTTGCAGCATTTGATGTTAATGTTTTTTTCTAGTTTCCTGCAGCACATTGTTTCATTTGCATCACATTTCCGTTGTTGTATTTGTTTTGTATGATTAAATCAGCATTGTTTCGGATTTTGCAGCTCGTTTCTCCAAATGGAAGTGTTTTGGTCCGTTGCAGCATGTTTGCTCTTGTCGGCCACCATAGTTAAATACTAAAAACAAGTTCAAACAAAGTTGATTAAAAAGATCAATCTTACATGCAGAGTGTAAATAAGAGTGTTGGTGTCTAAATGTCTCTCTGGTGTGAAGCTGCTGCTGAAACAGTTAAGTGGTTTCCAAGGAGATAGATAGAAGCAATTTCTTTTTTTACCAAGAGGATCACCGCTTTACTCTTTGTTACAGTTAAATATGAAAAACAGTTTGAGTAGAGAACAAAGAATAAATACATTAGATACAGCAGTTTGTTCTCAATGTGGAGCTGTTGATGCATTATTTGCATAAATCATACAGTCATATTCATCAACACTGGCAGTGCAGACAGACACTGACTGTGTAACTATTTTGTATTAAATGATGCGTAACAGTCATTTGAATCTATATGATCTTTACAGTTTTCCCATTTCGGAATGTTTTACATAAGAGAACAACAGAAAACAAAGCAGGTTTGAAAGCAGCCATGAAAAATAACAACACTGATAGCTGTGAAATTCTCAAGGAACAGGTAAGTATTTTGAGGAAATACATCCAGGCAAGTCCATTTTATTTTTATAACAATGTCCCATGTTCCTCAAATGATGTTATGATCTGTTCCTTGATTTTAAACCTTTAAGAAAACTGTCGATCATGATAAATCATTACAACTGTTTAAGGCACCAACCATGAACCACAACATCCATGGTCCAAGTCCTGCTGGGTGTCTTTGTTTCTGTCAGTTAGATATCTGACAAAGGTATGCCCCAAATAATTACACTCCCTCTCAGACCTGGTTCTGACCTTGCTCAGGTTCTGGTTCTAGTGCTAACTGACAATGACCGGCAGGACTTTAGCAGCTTTGTGCTCACTGTCTCTGACCTTTCCTTTCTCAGACCTGTTTCTGGTTGTGGTTCTGGTACTCACCGACAACAACTGGGAGGACCTTCATGGCCTTGCGCTCCCTCCCGCTGACTCTGCTGCTCTTGCTATTTCTTCTTCCTCTCTTTGCAGCGCTGTTCTTCATCAGGCCGTTCTCTCTGCTGAGTCCATCCCTCCTCTCTGTGGCCTCCCCATCTGACACGCTGTCCATCTGAGTCGTCATCAGGTCGCTCTCTGCCACCATCATCACTCCATCCTGCCGCTCCTCCATCACGGGGGTCACATAGGGCATTGTCACGGAGATGGAGGAAGGAGACATGGGGCTAAGGCCAGTTGGTGTGGAGTACACCTCCTTCTCAAGTCCACCAGTCGTCATAGCTTTAGGTCGCCGTAGAGCCGAGCTGAGACGTAAAGAGAGAGTCGGATGACCGGCTCGACCCACTTGAGATCGACTCCGACCGCTCCACCGCCGCAGGCCTCGAAACATCCAATAATACAAGAAGAGCATGACGGGACAAGGCACGAAGAAGGAGCAGACCGAGGAGTACACCACAAAACGGTCGTCCTCCAGTTTGCACACGTTCGGATTGCGACCTGGCACCTGGTTCAGACCAAAGATGACTGGACTGGCCACGCCAAGAGACAGAACCCAGGTAGCTGTGATGAGCACCAGCTGACGGACGCTGAATTGGTTCCTGTTGTACTTCAGAGGAACCACCACAGCGATGTACCTGTAATACAACACAGACAGGTGAGACCACCACAGCCCTGCCATTAACCTGTAATAAAACAGACAGGTGAGACCACTACGGACTCAAACTTAAGTCTTTGATTAGATGTAGATCCAGGTTTGAACTCCAAAGACAGTTGAAGACAGGGTCACTTAAAAAAACACACAGGTAGACTCACCTGTCTACACTGATGGCACACAGGTTGAGGATGGAGGCAGTGCACAGCATCACGTCCATGGTCATCAGAGCATCACAGACGTACATGCTCAAAGTCCAGATACCCCCCAGAAACTGAACAGTACACAGACACAAAATAATGAAATGTCCAAAAGTGTCCTCACAATAAAGGTGTTGACTGGTGTTGGTTCTCATAAAGCCCTGATCCTGACTGATCTCAATATAATACACAAACCAATACACACACACATATATATATATATATATATATATATATATATATATATATATATATATATGCATACAATATAAACTCATGCTGTCCTCACAAACACAACTTCATGTTCTAAAATGTCCTCAGTATGTCCATCCTCACTAACCCCTGGTCCTCACTGATGTCATTGTACATTTCATTCTCTATATGTATAGTATCAGCTGTCAACTTGTCCTCACTGTGCTGTATAGTCACTGTCCTCACTGTGTTGTATAGAGTCACTGTCCTCACTGTGTTGTATAGTTACTTGTGCTGTATAGAGTCACTGTCCTCACCTTCCTCACTGTGCTGTATAGAGTCACTGTCCTCACTGTCCTCACTGTGCTGTATAGAGTCACTGTCCTCACGGTGTTGTATAGAGTCACTGTCCTCAGTAACACCGACCTCTGAGTACACGTATAGCGGCAGGACCAGCACGGCCAGCAGGAGGTCAGCCACCGCCAGGCTGATGATGAAGTAGTTGGTGGCGGTTTTCAGGGAGCGCTCAGTGAGCACGCTCAGACACACCAAGATGTTCCCCAGAATGATGACCAGGATTAGGGGGACACCAAGGATCAGGGCCAGGTAGTTGTAGTCCTTCAGGTGTATCTCACCTGGGGAGCTGCCAGGTGTCACATTGTCCATGATGGAGGCCCTGAACACAGCTGATGGACTGAACTCAACATCTGGACACAACACAGTTGACTGTCAGTGTGTTTAGTGTGTTTAATATATTCAGAGTCTTTATGAAGTGTGCTGGTCTCACCTTGCTGTTACCTGTCCCAGGTGCTGTCTTAGGACTCTGTGTAATTCGTCCTCATTGCAGACTGATTTGTGTTGATCAGAGTTTTGCCTCACTCATTGTGTTCAGGTCTGCTGTTGTTTTCTTCTCTGTCACTGTAAATATTAAAAATATTTTGACACACTCCAACATTCACTGCCACAAACACCCTCTACAGCACCACATGTGGATTCACCCTCCGCTGAAAATAGTCCCCAACATATGAACCATTTCTTCCTGTTGGTTCAACTGCAGTGAGCAGCCATTTAAAAAAAAAGTAGACTACATATTGTGATTGATTTTAAAAATTTGGATCCAAACAGCTATCTATCTATCCATCTGAATAAAAACAGATCAAGCCAAAAGTAAAAAAAAACTACTATGATCCTGAAGTGAAGATTCAGACCAAAGACTAAAGAAAACTAAAAGGTTCAGTCTGTCAAAGGCTACAGGAATAAAAGTATTTATTTTTATCAAACTCTTCATGAAGTGACTGAGACCCAGCGAGTGACTGATCTCTGATCAACACAAATTCATCGACTTTACCGCTCCACCTCTAAAATTCTTCTTATCTCTGAACTCCACACCCATCTGTGAACAACCAGCACAACATGATGACCTCTCTGTTAGCCTGCGAACTCTGAGTCTGTGGACTGTTAGCATACTAATGTTGTGTTTTCTTAATGATGAGCCCTACAGTGTCAGAGCAGCTATAAACTCTCCACAACATTTCGCAGTGTTGGTGACAGATACTTTATATTTGATCAAACAGATCATCAACACCAACACTTCCTGTTTTCTATACAAGACTATATGTTGTGAACTCATCAGCAGAGAAGAAGAACCAGGTTCTGCTAAGACCAACGGGGACAGGTTGTTTCTGATGTGACATCAGAATTCATCTTGTCTCTGTGGAGTCTTTAAATCCCACTGCTGATCTGACGGAGGACAGTATGAATCTACAGGTGAGTCTTCATGGTTAGACCAGGAGACACTGTCTCCTCTCAGTGTGGCGACTGACGAAGATGATGATGACCATAAATGGCTGAATCACACGCTTCAGCTCACATAAACATTACTGCTGCCATATCTGAGGTTTCTGTTTGTGGTTTACACAGAGCCTGCTGCACTCTTATTTTGGCAGTTATATAAGGAAGTGCAGCAGGTTGTATTAAATGTCAGCGGTATTGTTTGGTGAAGTGTCTCCTCTCACAGTGAATCAGATCACAGATTAGCTATCATCCTGTGAGCTTCACAGTTACCATGACACCCAGAGAGGATGAAGAGGACACATACAACCTGACATATGTGCACAACCTGAATCTACTGCAACATCTTCACCGTTGCCATGACGCCCACAGACCACCTGTTGTATATCAGTAACAACCACAATCATGTCATGGTTAATGATGTCAACCAACCAGCTGTTAGCCTCGATGCTAACAACTAATACAGTGTGACACCAGGCCCGAAGCTGCAGCTGGATGAACAAGCTGTTTCCTTTATGACCCTCTTCATGGAGTCATCAGACAGAGAGCATGCTGGGAAACATTAACCATGAAGTCAGAGATGAAAAAAACCCAACAAGAGGTCAGAGTGAGAGAGGGGCTTCTGACTGTTGCTTACAAGCTGTGATTCATCACAGCAGGAGGTCTCTGATAAACACACAGACGACAGAGCTCAGGCTCTGCCCCAGAAATCAAGAGAGGCTGAACATACACCTGAGACCAGCTGAGTCAGACCACCAGAAGACAAGCTGAGATCACCTGAGATCAGCTGAGACCAGCTGACAGGAACATAAATGTTCTGAGTCTCCTGTTGAAGTTTCAGTATCTTTATTAAATCAGCTGCTTCCAGACTTCCTGTGATCTGTGAGACTCTTACTTACTGCTGTGACATCAGCTGAGCCTCAGCAGGGAGATAAACAGTGACATTCACACAGGTGCTGCAGTGATGATGGTGATTACATTAGATGTCACGTACCACCAGGTACCGTAAGGTACAGTGAGGTATAGTCATGTACCGTCACAAACCGCCACGTACTGTCAGGTACCATCACGTACTAACATATACTGTCACGTACTGACAGTCGGACTTTCTTTAAACAATCTGATGTGAAAACAAGTTTACATTTGAAATCAATATAATCTTCTCAGACTTTGCACTAAAATGTGTTCACATTTATGTAATCTGTTACCATGGTAACCCACCTGTATGGCAGGTGTAGTGACATCTCAACATGGTGAGTAAACAACATCACAGGTACATATTCTGGGCTGGTGGAGGTTTACAGTTATATACAGGAGTTCTTATTTGTATTGTAACGTAGTGGAGTTTTATTTTGTGGTTTATTCACTGTGACTGTGATGGTGACTGCAAATCCACCAACCTTCACACCTCCACAGGAGTCTGTGTTTTGTTGTGGTTGTTGTGCAATAGCTCGCTTACAGTTTTAGTATCGAAAGAAATGTTTCAGACATGATGCATCTGTTCTTCAGCAGAACATTTATCACGATCATGTTCTGTGTTCTGCAACATCTTATTCAGATGTGGTGAAATGCTATGTCTACATATACCTGCTTAGTGAGGGGCAGGCTCTGCGTTCATTCATTTTAATTGTCAGGTGTTCTCATTGCATTAATGTTAATGGTTGTGAACATGTAGTGACAACACAAATAGAAAAATATGTAAATAAGATGACATCATTACTTCCCGTGCTGGTGTTGAACATAGAAAATAGACCTTTTAGTTATATTTCTAATGTTTTGAATGAACTTTCACAACAGCAACTGATGCTCTGTGCTCGTCTGTGATTGGTTGACTGGTGATTACATCAGTTGTGAGTCCTGTTTGGTGGGTGTGGCAGCAGCTGCTCTGTAAATGAAGATGAATGATCAGAGGTGTAGGTGTTCAACAGCTGGACAGACTTGATATGAGGTCAGCAGGTCATGATGTCATGAGGTCATATGATGGGTAGAGGATGACGTTCAGAGAGTTCAGACTATAATTCATAATCCATTAACTAATGACGATTAATAACCACATCTGTTGGTCCATAATCCATCTGATTACACCCTGTCACAATAAAGTACCAACAGCTGTGCAGAGACTACAGACAAGTATTCACAATAAAAGCCTCACACAAGTCAAGTCAAGTCAAGTCAATGTTTATTTCTATATCACATTTAAAAACAACCTCAGTTGACAAATATAAATATAATCAACCATCCTTATTAATATAAATCAGCAATGAATATGAGCTAAAATAAACAATAAAACATCATCAAATAAAATGAGTAAAATAAATTGTGCTTGCAATATAAAAACCAAGGTATCTTGCTTAAGCAGGACTGAAAGCCAACGAGCAAGAAAAGCAAGAATAAGAGCAAGAAAAGAATGGGGCCCAAGATGGAACCTTGAGGTACCCCACAGGGACGCAGCTGAAGAATACTGGCCTAGGTTGACAGAGAAACTCCTGTCTGACAAATAAGATTGGAACCATTTAAGGGCTGTACCTTTTATGTCCACACACAAGTCAAGACATGACAGAAGAATGTTGCGATCTACTGTGTCAAAAGCAGCAGTCAAGTCCAAGAGTACCAGAACAGCAGAGTTACCAGAATCAACAGCTAAAAGCAGGTCATTAAAAACTCTTAAAAGGGCTGTTTATGTGCTATGGTGTGACTTAAACCCAGACTGGAACTTCTCAGAAATACCATTTATGACAAGGCATGACTGCAGTTGGTCAAAAACTACCTTTTCTAAGACCTTTGATAGAAAAGGGAGCTTGGAAATGGGCCTAAACTTGAATAGAACAGAAGGTCAAGATTGTTCTTTTTGATGGGGGGCTGTGCTGCAGCATGTTTGAAGGCAGCTGGAGCACATCCAGACATCAAAGAGGAGTTAATCAGGTCAACAATACATGGCCCAATGGTATTAAAAACACACAACACACAAACATGCATACGTCAACACATCTGCCGAGCTCTTAAGTTAACATGAAGTGTGTGTGTGTGTTTCTGATAATGACCAGCCTGAATAACTGAATGATGAACCTTGTATCAACACATCTGTAACTACAGGATTATTTCATTGATCTAATTCTACCTTTAATCACGTCACACCAGCAGGTGAACACACCTATGAAACACAACGGTTCTAACCCTGGAGTCATGACATCAGCTCAGTGACATTGTCTGACATTTAAACACTGACAGAAACTAAAAACTAAAAAACTATATATAATAAATTGGTTCAAACTGGTTTTAATCCTGAACCTTCATTAAAATAGTATAGATCATTAAGAACAGTGATGATCCAAACAGCTGGAACAGCTGGAACATTTAATGAAAAGTCTTCCATGACGATGATGGTTCAGTGTGGAGAAGTATTTATCTTAACTAATTAATTGGTGCTTTATCTTTAATAATACTTTAATCAGTCAGTTAGTTTGAATCCTGGTGATTACCTGTCCTGCCTCCTCAGCTTGAGTGTTTCAGCTGAGAGAGGAACATGATCCTCAGAGAAGGTGAGAACATGAGAACGTGAGAACATGAGAATGTGAGAACGTGAGAACGTGAGAACGTGAGAACATGAGAACGTGAGAACATGAGAACATGAGAACGTGAGAACGTGAGAACATGAGAACGTGAGAACGTGAGAACGTGAGAACGTGAGAACGTGAGAATGTGAGCTGCAGGAAATCACAGAACAAAAAATTAGTTCAACTGGCTTTCTCTCAATAAAGAAAAACAAAATAAAGATTCAGACTCACAGTTTAGAAGTGAGGACGTCCTCACAGTCTGCTCCTCTTACACCTCCTCTTACTCCTCCTGCTTCTCCTCCTTCAGTGAACTCAGTTTAATTTCATCAGCCCGTCTCCTGTGCTGTTTCTCTGTTTTACTCTTGTATTTCTGCTTCTTTTTTCTTTCTTTCGTCACACCTTCTATTTTCCACCTTTTTGTGTTTCTCCTCTGCAGTCTCCTCTTTTCTCCTCCTCCTGTTTCTCTGTTTTTCTTCCTCCTTTCTCCTCCTCATCTCTTCACAGAAACTTTTTTCTTCTGGTCAACAAAAAGATTCAGCATCCAAACCCCATCACCACCTCTCCACACCTCCCTTCCTCTCTCTCGCAGTGTCAGTCTGCCTCGTTCTCTCCTCCTCCTCCTCCTCTCTTTCTCTCTCTCTTTCTGGTTATTGCTGCACTCTGATTGGCTGACAGTAGTGATGTAGAAACCCTCCTCTCTTTCTCTCCTCCATCTCATCATGTCATTTTATTTTCTTCTCTCTTTGTTCTACTCATGTTCTTCTTCTTCTTCTGTGGTTTCCGTCCTGTTGCTTTCATTTGTTATTTAAATATAAAACTGCTGTATATTAAAATCAGGTGTGTAATAACCAGATAATTGTCTTTAAACCCAGAAGGAAAAAACCTGTGTTTTCTGACAGTGAAGGTCATTACACTTGTTTCTAATCAATGTCATTCATTTAACTCTGCAGAAATGTTTGTTTGATTTTATTATTAATACTTTGAATTTTACTAGAAACACTCAAGGTATATACAATATTTAACTCAAGGTATAGACATGTATCAGGACTCATGTTACAGCAGTGAAACCAACGCAGCCATTACATCCAGTCTGACCTTTTCCAGCTGCCTCATGGATGCGGAGTATCACATCAGGTTCATTCCACCTTAAAAAAAGATAGCCAAGCAGCTCACATTAGGCTCATTCCACCTTAAAAAACATAGCTAAGCAGCATCACATCACTTAAATGCAAACAGAGAAAAATGGATATGGTGGAAAAAAGGTAATTTTATTTAAAAACAAACTTACAACAAATCAGAATCGAAACGAAATCTGAATCAGAAACAGGATCAGAATCAGAAACTGAATCCAGGAGAAACTCAGGAACAGAAACCAGAAGCTGGAGGAGACACAGGACATACGGCTGAAGCAAGACCACCAGGGAGGCAGGTAATAAAACACAGGTGTAACAGATGAGGCCGGGGCAGGTAATCAACAAAGAGGGAAACAGGAAAAAGACAGGGAGTAAAATGATCATGAGATAAAAAACGAACTGTACTTCAAAATAAAAGAAGAAATGAAAGAAGTGTCCAAACATAAAGAGTCCTCTCAGGACAGACCATGACAAATCTGACCTCAGGTCATTTGGTTCAGGAGGTTTAGTTCAATAACCTGACCTCAGGTCAGTTTGTACATGTCTTCCTGGTCTTTATTCAGATCTACAGCTGGTGGTTTCTGGGGGACGACTGAGTCTGAAGGTTCAGAAACAGGAAGTAGATCCAACTGCAATCAAGGTTTTTTGACTTTCCAGGACAGAGTTCTTCATCACCATCATGTCTTCCTCACAGCTGAAGAGGATGGTTTATTATCCAACAGAAGAAGAAGATCATTGGACCAATCAGAGCAGAGCTGCTTCACACAGAGATGTTGAATCACAAAGTCAATGAAACAAATGACAGTTACACAAAAAGGAGGAAATGTTGATTTAAAAAAAACAACCTATCAATCCTAATCATTAGCTGCATATTGCACATGCTGACATTAATCATACAATAAAAATAATGGTATTATTATTTATCTGACTTCAGTCTAACAATGAATCACAAACAGATAAATACCACGAGTCTGTGTGGGAGAAGAAGAGCCAGCAGCTTCCTCCTCCTCATCCTCCTCTCAGCCTGTTTCCACAGTGATTCATCACATGTAACTGTGTGTGTCTGTTACTGTTGTTTACCACAGCAGGTCCTGAGGAGACGATAAGAACTGAAGATAATAGCACGATCAATAACACGACCAGAGCAGCAGCAGTTTCAGTGGTAATGGAATGTCAGCAGTAGAGACCCTGACTGACTCTGACCCACATTGACCCAACCAATCAGATCTGATGTCCACATCAAACCCAGGTCCTCTGTGGACAGGTGTTAAATAAAATGGAGGGGCCTCGGAAAGCAAAGACCTCCACCATCAAACAACAGACACCAGACTACATAGTAGATTATCTGGATCCCCCCCCCCCCCCTATAATAAAATAATT